CGCTGGGTCAGAAGTTGCCAGGAAAGTGATTTCTCAGAAACAATACAATTGAGTGCAGTGTGGCTGCATTTGCTGGTGTGCTTCGTTCTGCTTACACCTGAGGTCTGGCTGTGTGCTTATTGACTCAGTTAAGACCAGAGCTTCACTCTTCTCATTTCCAGAAAAACAAAATGACATTGAAATGCTTCTTAAACAGTTTTTACTGATGGAAATAATTTGGTGTAAATAATGTGATGTTTTGGAGAATGGTGCTGATTTCCTGGATCATAATTCACCTATAAAATACATTTTTGAGCCTTTTAAATTTATATAATATTAATGTTGTGTTCCTTCCGGACATGCGTCGTGTAAGTCCTCTGCAATCTAGTACCCATGGATTATGATCCCGGATGTAGTTATTTTATGCTTTGCTCTTTCCAGCCTGAGCATCCGTTAAAGCTATGCAAGGTGGGTTATATTGGTAAGAAGCACAGAGCATGGTGGTGTTGGTGGGGGGTTGTGAAGTTAGGACATGAGTTCTGTGTAGCTGGGTTTGATTATGGTAAAATAGGGCCAAGTGCCTTTCTTTGAGCCTGGGCAATTGCGGTAAGTATACAGTGAATCTTGTTAAGAATTCTTCGTGTACAGAGTCAGCTAAGAATGCCAAAGTCCAGGAGGTTTTGTTAATAACAGGTCCTCAAGCAAAGGCAAAATACTGTTTTCCTTTTACTGCTCCAATGGAAATGGAACGATTCTTTTCAACAGCGCAGCAGGGGCCGTGCACACATCACATGGAAAGTGGCGGGGCTGGCAGGCACATAGGCATGGTGGGTTCTTTGCCGTGAATTAGCTCTGGGACTTTGGACAAGTTACTTAGCCTCTTATTTGTCAGAGTAAGAGAAGTGTACCAAAAACTCTTCTAAGGCCCTTTCTGCTATTAAAGAAAAATCTAGAAACCATCTTTGCCCTTCTCCCCTGGAAATCCGCCTTCTTGACTTCTGGAGTGGGTATCTTGTCAAGACTGGAGTGATGAGAAGGAAGTCCTCAGGATTCCAGCGTCTCCTTTTGGAATAAAGTCTTAGGCTTATTAGTCCTGAGTGAACTTTCTGTCCTGTGGAAAAATTCTAATAATTTTCCCAGATATTTTAATAATTAAACTGAGTGTGCAACTGAAAGTTCATTCTCGACCTATAAGCCTTTTTAGAAGGGGTTATTTCTGTGTTCCTTTTTTCTGCCTCCTTCCACGGAGATCCCCTGAGGAAGAGGGAGCTGGAATGCATTCGCCTCAGCCTGGTTTCCTGGAGGGCAGCTGGGTTTATTTTGCCTATTTGGGAGTAATGTATGTGACTGACACAGACTGCCTCCCTTCCAAGAATACCTTTTTCCTGTACTTCAAGTAATTGTCAGTATTTTCAGTAACATAGCCTGGAGGAGGCTGCATTATTTCATGTGTTACCTTCTTACAAGTTGTATTTTCTTCTGAACTAGAAATGTTACTACTGTGTTGGGTTATTTAATGAAGAAGAATATACCCATACAGCTCTGTTGTACAGCCTCTTCTTACTTCATCTCAGAATTTCATAGTTGCTTGCATTTTTTCATAATAAAAATCTACCTAAACCCATATATTATTCCACATGCAACTATTTAATGTCTGTTGATCCAAGAAACAATTTCATAGTTTATATACTTACATTCCCATTCTAAAATGTGTTTCCCTCTGATCACTCCTAATTCTTTTCTTTTAAAACTGTTGCCCTACCCACGAGTATTGTGGGGTTTTTTTCTTTAATCCAATAGTGAACACTTTTCACTTTGGACTTTATTGTATAATTTCTTTCCCTCATTTCCCTTTTCTGTTTTGAAAGCAATGTGGCAATATGTTGTTTATGAAGGGACAAGGCTAGCAGGGGGCAGACTCCTCCTAAATTAGCCACTTAGAAAGTAGAGGTTTTGAAAACTTTTGTCTGTTTTTGTATTGGTTTCATGATAAAAAAAAAAAGTGTATTCCCGTTGTTCTTTAGATTCTGAGCAACATTTTTAGGTTTTATTTACACTCCTCTTGGGTTTGGTGAAAAAAAAAATGCAGTACAGCTGAGAGAATGCTTAAAAGATGCTGTAATGGTTTGTTACACACAACAGCCCTGCAGCTGGTCACATTGTACCTCTGCAGTTGTTTCATAAGCAGCTACAACTCTGATCCCTAAAGTTGTCCTTGAAGTGGCCAGTCAGTAGTGATCTGTCTGCCCCAATAGTTTTTTTTCCTTCAACCTCTCACTCCTGAGAGGCCAAACCTGATTGAAAATTTGGCTATCTCTGCCTTTCTTGTGATATTTAACATTTTAAATATGAAAGTATGTGAGGTGTAGAAATGGGTTCAGATCATTTCCTGTTTGAGAATTGTCAAATCAACTGTGGGAGCACAGCTGTTTGTGACAAAAAGCGAATTCTGTTTCTGTTAATAATGTTATTTCACTTATGTATAGCCAGTGTTTGTTACATCATTTCTTTGGAAAAATATGTTCTCGATTTCATCTTGCGAGAGCCCAGAGTTTAGAAGCGCAGTGGGTGGAGGGACTGTGGAGGGAAGCCTAAGCTTACGGGAACTCCGAAACTAGCCCTGTTGGTCAGTGTTCAAGCTCCCCTGTTTGAAAGATGTCACTTCTTTTTCATTAACTCCCAGGCAGCAAGCCAGTCAATTAACTTCCATAGTTTGGTTATTGAATAATTTGACTTTATTGTTCTCATAACAAAGAAAACACACCAAACCCTGTTTGTTAAAATGTGTATGGAAAAACTAATGAGTATTGTGAGGTGGATATTTGAAAACAAAATGGTTTTCTTCTTAAAGGAAATAATATTTTTTAAAACTTTGCAAAATGTTTTACAACAGACAACTTCCCCTTTTTTTAGCTTAGGATGTTGAAGGCCCCTGAGGTTGTCATCCTGAACTTTTCACAGCCAGCTGCGGTGCTCTTATAGAAGGAACAGGGCTACTGTCTCTTCAGTGCAGGATATATTCAGGAACTCATAAGAATTTTCTGAAAAGTATATTGCTATCAGTTTTTTTTGTTAATCTTTCTTCTGAATAAATGTGGGTCTGGGATAAAAATCAGTGTAGATACATTTCAATTAACAACCTCTTTTAACTGAAATGTAGCTAAATTGATTTTCTCCCCAGAAACCTGTCTCCTCCTATCTCCCTGCTTCTGCAATCCTGATATATTATGGTAGTGATTTGAATTGCATGAAGTGGGTTCAACTGAAATTCCAAGTGGAAGTAGCTTTTGGATGTTTATTCTCCTCAGTGGTTTGTGCTGTCCTTCCTACTTTGTAACATAAATTTTTACAAATGCATCAAAGCAAACAGAGATAAAGGCCATATATTCCTAAAGGGATTATATGTTACTATTTTTGGTGGTAGTTGTTGATTTATATCCTCTTCCAATAAGATCTAAGTAGACAGAGAGAGAGAGAGGGAAAATGAAGTAGAGAAGGACCCTCTTCCCCCTATGTAAGTTTGGGCTTAGATTTTCAAAATAGTGAAATGTATGCTGCTTTTTCAGTGTTTTGTTTTGTTGCATCCAAATTGCATTGCTATGAAGATAAGAAATGCTTTTTAAAAAGGAACATGGTTCCTGTTTTAGGGGGTTCAAATTTTTTTTGAGGTAAAAAGACTTACATGTCTACAACAGTTAAGGACCTATACAAACAATATGTGAAAGTATTAAACAGCATACTATAAATGTACCAACTCTGGTAGAATACTGAATGCTGTGTGTCATCAAGGAGAATTATGTCTGCACAAAATTGCACCCATGAGTTTAGAGCAAATTTAACAGCCTCTCAGCTAGAGTCCTTCCCTGGGATTTATCCTCCATTGAGAGACTTACCTTATTGATAGCAATATACTTAAAAAAAAAGTCCTACAGGTTCCTGAATGTATCCTGCATTGAAGAGACAGCAGCCCAGTTCCTTCTATGAAAGTACCACAGCTGGCTGTGAAAAGTTTAGTGGGATGATAACCCCAAGGGCCTTCAACATCCTAAGCCAAAGTGGCAGGGGCTGGGGCTTGCTGTGGCCAATTCTTAACTGCCTGGACTTTATCCCCTAGCACCATGCTCACCTAGACCAACTTTGTTTTTTTACCCATTCAGGCTCTAGTTTCTTTTCTAAATATTTGTAGTGTTTGCTTTGAGTTTGTTTGAGTTTTTTACTCAGATCCCATCTCCACCTCTTAACTGGGGTTACCTGGTAACTCTTGAGGCTCAAGGAGGTTGAGTAGCTTTCTCAATTTCCTTGAGAAAACAGGAGTGATTCTTACTTCACAGGGCCAGTATGCTCAGGTATGGGTCTTCTGATAGAATATGGAGTCAGAACAGGCATGCAGGCAGTATTCATCCTTAACAGCCAACAAGACATTGGGCTTGGCCAGCCAGCCCCAGTGAGGGCAGCCTGCAGTTAGACTGCCAGCATTGCTAAACCCCTTTCATGACGTGACAAGATTTCTAAAACACAACCCGTGTTGATGCTAACATGCTGAGAGTCTAGTTTTGGCATCTTAGACATCAGTTTTTGATAAGACTTTCTGAAGAAGTGGGTTTGCATCCTCTGTGGGGTACTGTTTTTGTAGATAACTCATAATATGTGTATATGTAATGGTGTCGCCTCTTTTAAGAATGTAAAACTAAAGTTTTTTGGTTTGTCTTTTTAGGGACAATTTCTTGCAGCTTATTATCTGTTACGTATAGTATCTCTACTTGGAACAGGCGAAACATACTATTACATTTGATCAATGGCAAACACTAGTCTTGATAAGTGAAATTGTAACAATGGAGGTGTTTTCAGAAACGTACTGGATTCCTTCCTTTTCAAGAAGAAATTATACTCATTCCTTTGAATTCCAAAGGACTTTAAGTAGCTTAGGCAAGCATTTATAACGAATGCTAGATGTTTACTGTGTAGCTCTGCCATTGGAATACATGCATTTTTTTAATCAAAAAATTTTTTTTTAACTACAGGAGCTCTTACCAAAGTAAAAGAGAGTAGGCGGCACGTGGAAGAAGGGAAGATGGAGGTCCAAAAGGCTGATGGCATTCAAGATCGCTGTAACACTATTTCTTTTGCCACTTTGGCTGAAATTCATCACTTCCATCAGATTCGAGTAAGAGACTTTAAATCACAGATGCAGCATTTCTTACAACAACAAATAATATTTTTTCAAAAAGTGACACAGAAATTGGAAGAAGCTCTTCACAAATATGATAGTGTTTAATGATTGGACATTGGGTGTGCAATTTTTTCAGTTCAAGAATAATTTCTACAGCAGAATAAAAACTGCTATCAAAGAGCTATTGCCAACTATCAGTGGTGGTACAAGGATGGTTTTGTATTCAACTGAAGCTCAGCTGAATATATAATTATGTAGGAAAGAAACAGTTAATATGGTTATATAACAGAAACAGTACCACACATTGTAACTAAATTATACTATGTATGCCTACACTACCATTGTAACTTTTGGAATAATGATTATACTATTTGCCTTATTGCTTTTTGAAGTATGGGTATTTTAGTGCATACTTTGTAGACCTCAAAACCCATGAAGGGTCTCAAAGAAGCTGGCTGAATAAAAGCCTGCTGTGGATGCCTTTTTACTCTCATAGATTGGGATCACCTAAATTCAACCTGTTCTCTGTTTACAAACTCCAACTAGAGCAGCTATGCGACTTTGTGCCTTTAGACTCTTGGTTTTTCATTTCTCCACCCCTCCCCCCTTTTTAAGTAACCACAACTTTTCTGACTGAAAGAGTGAAAGGCAAGTGCATATAACAAAAAACTGCTGGTAACCCTCATATTGGCGCAGGGGTGGGGAGTGGGTGGAGGGGGAGGATCAGCTGTCATCAGCTGCACAGCAAGTTTAGTCTCCTGGTCTGTACAGGTGCACACAGTGGAGGGAGACCTGATGTTCATCTCTGGGTAGGAAGTCCTTTAGGGAAGAAATGGTGCCACTCTGTTCCCTTATGCTATAGAAGCATAGCCTCTTCACTCAAGTGTCCTGGAAGCTTGGCGTGGAATTTAAAGAACATGTCTTATAACACAGAGAAGGAGTCTGATCAGCTGGGGACACAAGCACAGAATCAGTGACGACACACCGTTTTTAGTTCTTAGGAGGGTTATACTTTTTTTTTTTTAGCTTGAAGATTTTCTTTTAATTGTGTTTTTTTTTTAAATGGATCTACACTGTTAACTGAGACTCCACTGTGATTCACTCGTTTACTTAATCGAAAACTTTCAGGGATGTCTGTAAAATTCAGTGTTATATGTGATGAAAAGTAGTGTTGGTTGATCTACAGAGGGACCAGAAATAATTTCTATTATTCCAAATGCTGAAGGAAAAAAGTAATTGTTTTTTTTTTAATCAGTATTGATAAGCCCCCAGGACATTTAAACTTAAAGTTATTTTAAATATATTCTTTTATTTTATAAATACAAATGACTGATAAATACCAAAAAGATTCAAAGGCAGCTTAATTTTAAAAGCACAAAGAGATTCTGGCTCAAAATCTCAAAATCTCAATTTTTTTTTATAGTTGCTGAGCTACGTAATGTGATTTTTGAGTTTATAAGATTTAAAACTTGTCACTAAAAGGTTAAAGTATTTACTGTTCTTATGAAGTCAAACTTTTGCTGCCTCAGAAATCCCTGGGTATTGAAATGGTAACACAGAAGTAAAGAGATCACTGAAATATTGGTGAGTCACATTGATTAAAGAAAAGGGTCAATGTGCAGGTAGTCATGAAAAGAAAAGGTTATTGAAATAATTACTCAATAGCACATTTACTCTAAAAAGTAATCTCATATGGGTTGAATTTTTAAGATCAGAGTATAATTTTGATCATAATTTTGTACTTTAGGTAACTTACAGTCAGATACAATATCATGTGGCTTTGTCTCTACTGCAGATATGCGAACTGTAACCAAATATATTGTTCTCCAAAAAGTAACTTTCTCTTGTTGGTTGCAAAATACAGTTCTATAAACAAAACCGAGATATGTTCTATAAATAAAACCCATATATATAAATGTTAATGTTATTGCAGAAGTTTGGAGATTATAATTATAGCATATAAATTAAGTTTGAGTTTGCATTGGACAAACACTATGCTTTTCAAATGATTTGAAAATCAGTTTTATTTTTCTCTTTTGATTTCTTTTTTTTTTTTTTTAAGTAAAATCACTAAACTTGTGCAATGGCAGCATGGAAATTATCTGAGGTGTCTTGTATGATTGTGCTTTAACTGGGGAGGACATAACTTAAATTATAAAAACTAAAGATTAAAGTATAAGGAAGTTTAAGTTAATGCTGCCTTCTTAGAATTTTTGTTCTTCAGAACTACATAACCTTCTAATGCCACTGATTCATAAGGGGTTTAAAATTAATTCTGGGTGGTAGGACACCAGAATTATTAGTGTTCATTTTCATCTAAGATCTTTATTTCTCTAACGTTCTTGGTCCTATTGAAACATTTCAGTATACAAAAATACTGTAATGTTAATACCCAAGAGAAAAGCCATCATAATGTGTGTGCTGGTCATTATGATCAGTGTGGTACAGTTTTTAAAAATAAACTATCATGCCCTTCATGCCATTATTTGTCTTTATTTCATTATAATTTTGATATATGATGTGCTTGTAACATGAGGGTGTCCACTTAAGCCTAGTTTTCCTATTTTGATTACAGATGGCATTGTTTATGTACTATAACTATGATGCAGTGAGACTGGTTTAACAACTGTGCATTGTAACCCCATAACTCTTCTAGGCTGTTGTATTTGAAGGTAAAGTTTAAACCCAGAACAAGGCAACACATTTGAAAGTGAAACAAACATAAGTCTGTGTGCATTGGCTTAAAGAGAGTACTAATTGGGATTTTCTTGGGCCTCGCTGATACAGTTGTCTGACATTTGTTTCATAAAAATACAGCAGACTCTTAAATGCCGATTTTTAATTGTCTTAAATTTTGCTGCTATTCTCATAATTAAGGACTTAAAAAATGTTTTAGTCCAGTCAAGCATGTAAAATTTATGTATAAAGCTTTAATGTCATTTTCTACTAAGTTCATTGCCATACCAATTTGTTCCATGTATGTCTTCATTTCATCAGAATTAAATACCATGCCTGCTATCTTTAAATCCATCAACATTACCCAATTTTCTCATTTCCAGCCTTATCTTTGGCTAACAGAATAACTAAAATAGGGTATTATTTATTTATAGACTAAAAATGTTGACTATTTTATTTCCTTCAAAATGTTATTAGTGCAGATCAGCCATGTTTATCTTTTATAAAATAAACAAAGCTTACTTTATTTCCAGTTTCAATGGAATATTATAATTATTTTTTCTCCACTAGTCAAGGAGGCATTTATTTAATGTGAAAGACTTAAACAGAAAAATAGAAGACTATTCACTGTCCTAAGTTTCCATCTGCAGTTGCCATAAAAATTGTTCATAAAACTCTATGGTAGTTTGATTGATTTAAAACCTTAAGCCATTCAGGTAATCTAAGTATCTGCTTACGTTAGTAACTTCAGTGATATTAAGCTTATAGCAATAAATTGTGAGATGTTTGAAACAGTAGCTACTATGAGTCCAGCATGTGACACACAGTAGGTGCTTAAGTAAAGCACTTCACACACTTTCTCTGTTGGAAAGGAACATTCCTGTACAGATTTGCTTGCAATCTTTGTAAAATGATGTAAAGGGCTCCCTCTAATTTCAGGAAGTTTTAAAGAAATTAATTTCTTTAAGCTCCGTGATTGATTTTGAAATCTATTAATGCAGTGAAATTAAGAATATTATTTGGGAAAGTGACATAGGGAAATTGCATAGTATGTATAGAATCTGAGTTTTGTGTCAGAGCAGTGTTTCCGGTATCCCAGTGAGTTAAGTGCCGAACTGTCAGAGCTTGTTTTATTAGTATTTGTTAGTGTCCCTAATTTTTGTTAAAACACTAAAATTCGGAGATTATTTTTTTTGAAGACAGAGCTGCAAAGCCAGTCCTAGCCTTACTCACTAATTTGCATTCTGATAGAATATCTAGAGGGAGGATAGGGAGGTGTTTGAGTTAGGTAGTCCTGTGAATGAATGTCTTCTGTTAAGAATGTCACTCTTGGTTGCCAGAAACAGGCCAGCTCAAGCCAGTCTACCCCAAAATATAAAAGTCACAGATGGGCACAGGGACCTGGTGAATCCCACACAGGGCCAAAGTCCTTTCTGGAACTACGCTTGTCTTCTATGTGGGGCTTTGTAATCTGTCGGCAACTTTCCATGATGGGTCTATTTCATTCATCATTTTTTTTTCTTCTTTCTGTGGCTTGGCTTCTTAGCATCTTCTAGTATACATAAAATGTCCAAGCCATCTTTCATTCACAGGTTTCCTGACCCAAACTAGAGAAATCAGCTGTGGCCTGGAGGTGGGGAGGAAAGGGTATGAGAAGGAGAGGTTCTCTTAAATTGTGTGTGAGGGAAGAAAATGGTTATACCTCTTAATATGGACTTTCTGTGGTAGTCCTCACAATGAACCTGGAGATCCCATTTCCTGTCCATAGATGAGTTAATAGGATCAGAGAGGTCCAGTATCTGTTGCTAAAAATTACCCACAAACTAAGTTACGGAGCTGAGATTCAATTGGGATCTGGCTAGACCCTATGTTTTTTAAACTGGGTTACACTGGATGCCTTTTCAGAAGCCCCTAACACCTTTCCCAGATGCTAGATTTCCCACTGCTGGATTGACAGGGATTCTGTCATTCTTTGGGCATGGAGCTTGAAGGCATAAAGGGAATCCGAGAGTCTGTTCTTTGCATTCACTTCTATTGGGAAAGATGGGAGTCTGTGGTCCTGTCTCCATGTTCCCTGCTGTTATATGTGCCACTGTGCTCTGTCTGAACGGGGAAGCAGGCAAGCTGTGACATTTTGATAGTGATACAAAGCGAGAGAAGGAAAAGAATCAAAACTCAGTGGTTTCTCCTTCTTTCCAACTCCCTCCTCCAATAAAAGCAGGTGTCAGTTGCCCTAAGGATGGCCTTGGCACAACAACGAACTAATATCAAGTCAGACGTTTAATTCCAGTCAGAGTCAGAGTTAGCCATAACAAATTCCCCTTGGTCACAGGTAGAAGCAATGGAATGCCCCACGTAGTAAGCTCTGGTAAGTCTGAGAAGAGGTGGCAGAGTACAGGTGGGTGCTGTGCTAGGGCTCTTGGGGCAGGAGCGTGGGGGAAACCTGGGCATCTGCCTCTATCCCTGGCCTCTGAGCTGGGGAGCAGTTAATCTGGGATCGGGTCATGGCTACCACTTTTCTAGGCATCATGACTTCCTCTTACTTGGCCCTGATTTCTGGATGTCCCAATCCATCATACCTGTGGCACAGATGGAGCTTTCAGAAGTGCCACAGTGGCCTGCTTGCTTTAAAGGACAGTCCAACTTACTTGGGTGAACTTGTACCCACAGTCTGCCAAGGGCAAGGCTAATTGTCCCTGTGAAGCTATCTTCAAAGGGGCTCACAAACATGTGAGATGTGGTATTCCATTGCTGTGCTCCAGCCAGCCTATCTGGAAATGATTGTTAAGTCTGAAGTGGCCAGATGCATCAGACCTTATTTTTCTAGGGGTTTAAATTTTCAGTCACTGCAGGAAATGACACTCAGGACTTCATAACTGCTGAGTTGTTGGACTTCTCTGCAACCACAGCAGGGAAGCTGACTCAGCAAATCAGGGAGAAAGGCAATGTCTTGGACAGGGGTCATCTTCTAGCTATTCAGGCAACTCACCAACTCCTCTGAGCCTGTTTCTGCAATTGTATGATAGGCCTACTTAGATTTTACTGAATTATCGAAAGTATTAGATTAATCAGTATGTAAAGTCTTTAACCATTTTGCAGTACTCCTCTAATGTGGGAAGTGATAAAAATTCCAGAAGTAGATACTTAATAAAGCAATGTTCCCAAGTATTGTGAGATCTTAAGCTAGTCACTTAATCTCTCTGATCCAGTTTTCTATCTCTAATGGTATGGTATACAGTATCCCATTCACAGAAGTCCTGTGAAAATTCGATGATGAATGAAAAGTCCTGAGGTCAGTGCATGAGAGAGTAAGAACAGTAAAGATCCTCTGTGATTATGTGAGCAGGGATGACATGATGGATCTAAGTAATCAGAACTTTGTATCAGCTGTGCTGCAGAACAGGAATCCACACTTGGGTCCCAGTCAGGCACAGTTCCTGCTTTCAGCATGGTTCTTTCAGCCTTCTGCCTGTTCTGGCCAGCTCTCTGCAGTCCAGCCCAGCCTCAGGTCCAACCCCTGTCCAGGTGCCTGCCTCCAGAACCCTAGCACAGCATCCTCGCATATTCTGCTTAGAAGCCTAATCCTCCATCACTTTTCAGACTCACCAAATTCCTCCTACTGGGGTGGGGAGGGGCTCAGCTCTCCAGAGGTAACCCCTTTTCAGTAAGGCTCCCCACCTGGGCCTGAAAAGCTAAGTACCAATATGTTTAGGAAGTTGTCCTGTAGCTCTTAGCAGAATTATCTTAATAGCTCAGAATTCAGTTTTTGCTCACTAAATGAATAATGATTTTATTGATGTCTGCTGTTTTCACATCTTAAAAGCATGCACTTGAGACATAGGATGAAGAGGGGCAGCATACTCCGTGTTCAAGGTCTCAGCCCCTGGCCACATGCCACTCGTGCCACACATTTCTAACTGATGGTCAATGCAGTCACTCTACACAGCTGAATTAAAGGCCTCTAAGTGGCTTTTGGTGTAACCATGCCCTGAATCAAATCAAATACTGGTGTGGACCAAGTTTGGTCAGACAACTTGATGATTCTGCTTTTACTCAACCTAACAGTTCTGGAAAATGCAAAATGTTAGTTTTTGACTCAAAGTGGTTCCCTTGGGGAGAAAAATCTTTTTAAGAAATCAGAGTACAGTTTAGGACTTAGTATATTAGGTTCATCTTAAAAGAGACATTCCAGTGTATCTGTTGGTGCTTAGAGTCTGTGGTTTTGATCACTTATTTTTTTTTAATCACTTGACCTATTTATGAACTTCTTTGTGATTCAACTGGAGTAGCTAGGTGACACATATATTTAGTACAAGGCTGCAACTGTGTGAGACCAAGTCCGTGAGCCAGTGTTCTTTATCTGACTCAAAATACCTATGGGGAAAGCAAAACCTGTAATGCCAGAGAAAAGGGGCTTTCTTGACAAATGGTGCTTTTTGATGGCCCCTATTCTAGAATCCATGGAAAGACCTTTTAGGTCCTCATGCTGACAGGTAATCTCATGATAAACTGCACAGTTGTCTAACAGATTAACAACCATTCATTTTTTAAAAAGACAAGGACGTTCTTTACCAATATATCATTTTCCTAAGAAAAGTTAAATGAAAAAAAAAGGGCAGAACAATATCTTATATGCTATCCTTTGAGTAAAAGAGGAAATAAATGCTTGTTTATATATGCATAAATTATTTCTGGAAGTAGATGCAAATAATTGGTAATAAGTAACTGTTTTGGGGTCTGGGAACTGGATGGCTGGGGTGGGAGGGAGATTTTGCATACCTTTTTATATCTTCTCAATTTT